CTGCCTTGGCACTTGATTTTCCTGTAAACTCTTCATTTGTCAACAATTTTTCATCTCTAATGAGCCACTTCCACTGCCCACACGCAAATGAGTTCGTTGCCGTTACCGTGATGAAGGGAAATGAATGTCAAATACTTTATTTAAATGACGGACAACCGTGTTCCGAGCAACATTAATGTTCGCAACTCAAGACACAATTTTTTCATGTCTTCAGCAAACATTTATAAGGGAAGGAAGGAAATTGGGTTGTCACCAAGTTAAATTGTCATGAATCAGTTCTTGCAAGGAAAATACGGCGATAGCCTTATATTTTAAGAATCTGTAAAGAAGATACAGCAGATCTTAAGTAAAAGGTTTTCTTATTCACTTAAGTTAGGTTAAAGTCATGATTTAATACTCTGATTGAATGAAATTTAAACGTGATTACTCCTCACAAGAAGCTATCATTGGCAGTCAAACAAACACTGAAAGGATCAGGCGACGAATAAAAGGGTCTGAAATTGTCGATTGGGTCTCACTTGTAGACATTGATTGGGTGAAAATCGATAGCATTACATGGAAACTGGGTCGGCGAGGACAAGCCCTAGGTTGTAATCGAAAAGCTTATACCACATTCTCAATATTCAATTACCAGCGTCCTGTTAAAGGTCCTTCCATCGACTCAGTTGGCCAATTCCGCTGTTGCATGGGTGTGAATGCTAGACAGCCAGAATGAAGGGGTTTCTGGAGGGCAGTGGAGGTCCTGTCTGCTTTTGGTCTCTTTGTTGTCGCTGGCACGCACAATTACGCGGAAAATAGCGAATCGACAGGCACAGAGTGAGCGAAAAAAAGGGCAGCGGGAGAAAGGCAGGGCGTATACGTGTTATTTGCCTTTGGGGCCGAAAGCCGGCGAAATCGAGGCTTTGCAGCTGAGAGCTTTATCGGCTGCAGGTCAGTCACTGAATGGTCAGGAATTCATGCTTTTAACTGATTTTTATCACAGAGAGAATAGTCTAGTAAGATTTTGTAACACTTTTTTTATTCCGGCGTATAAAAATATGTATATACATGCGTATATAAATTTAAAATATGGAATTTACTTTTTTATTGTTATTTCGATTCCTTTCAAATAATTAAATTTTTTAACTTTACTTAGTAGTAAATGCCTGTCAAAGTTCAATGGCTTTTAGGAAAATCTTTTTATTTTTTCAGCAGAAGGAAAAGGTTGTATTACTTAACATCTGCTGCATTTTCTTCTTAATTAAATTGGTTATCTCAAAGGAAAGTATCATGACTAAGAAGCCAATGTAAAGAAGAGGTTAAAAACTATTGTCAAAGCTAAAAGAAAACAAAGAAATGAAAAACAAAGGCAACGCCTTAAAGAGAAACACCAGAACAGCAGACAAAAGAAGGAATATAAAGTAAGGATGCACAAAGGAAATAAAGAAATGAGAGGATTGAAAAGGTAAGTCCCTGACAATTTTAATATTAGGTATCCGATATATGGTAAAGATAGGATATCTAGCTAGCAGAGAATATATGCAGCATAAATCAAGAAGAAAAATAAACATTTTTGTGGGAAAAGTTGTTACATGTTTCCTCTGTTTAAAGGTCTTGTCAATTGCATCATTAATAATGGCAATGCGCCAGATGGTATCCTGCCATTTCCGATTTCTGATGTCCGCTCATATCACGTACCAAATGTGTCTAACGAGAAAACAAGGATTCCAACTTAAGTGCGTGCTTGTTTTTTGAGTAATAGCCCGCACTCACAGTCAGAGATTTACAGACAATAAACTGCAAAAAAATAAATGTAGTATGAACTGACCACGTTATATATATATGCTAGGATAAGGGATTTCTGTTTATTTTGTATTCTATGAGAGTGTTGAGATATCATATTTTGCATGTTAAATAGCTGAGAAAAAGATTTGTAGACTTCCCTATTAAAGATACATTCTAAGCGAATTCTTAAAGAAATGACATTTTCTAAACATAGACGTTGAACTGATTCAACAACATACAATTGGCTTAGACTTCTTTGTGCCTTGGATTGCTCTCCTGTTGACCAGAAATTGTCCTTTTAGCAGGCAATAAGGCGTACCTCGAGTACTATAACCCACATACAAGTTGTAACTGTGTGATGGAGACAGGGGACTTTTATTGCAATCCGTGATTGTTCCAGCAGCTTGTGTGGCAACCAGGAAAGGTAATTGTAGTAAAAATAGCACAGTCCGAACGTAAGAAGTGAATATGTTTCCACCTTTTTTCTTGGCTTGTGTAAGCTTCCGAATGGGATAGAAAAAGCCAAGGCATGCAACCATTTTAATATTTAAAATATCAGAATAATTTATAGAAAAGAGAAATATTCTACTGTTACTATCTGAAAACCATTTCAGCAGAAGTCATTAAAGTCGAAACAGTAAAGATTAGGGCTTGTTAATTCCCTTCCTTTCACGAATTAAATTTCTATGAAAACACTTTCATCAAAAGGAAAAAAGTACGTTTGTTGCGCATACGTCGCGTGTGCCCAAGGACAACATAAGCCGTCGACTTCACCGACTCATGCATGTTTTGTGTGAAACCAATAGCCATAAATTTTCCTAGCCAAGCACGAAATTCCTATTTACTTTCTCTACACAGAGAAAAAGAATGGGAGAAAAGGAGAATAGAATGAGGCAGAAAGTCATCCCCATATTTCATTGTTTGTTTTTTCTTTCCGCTTTATGAAATTCAAATTTTATTACAGGCAAGATGAAAACTTGAATTGAGTTTCGGAATGAAATACTACAAAACAAAATTATATGCATGAGTTTTTTTCAAGAATATGCAAACAAGTTTAGTGCTTAGCCGCCGGCCTTTTAAGACATGGATTCTCACATAAAAATGAAGAGAGAACTTGAATGGAAAAGACAAATTTGATATTATTTAGTTATTATTAAATATCTTGACTTGAGCTTTAAATTGAGGACAATTGCCAAGAGGTAAAAGGTTTTAAAACATTTTCCAATTCAGAGAAATGCAGTTTAGCCAAGTTTTTATTTTCAGTCTGACAACGATCTATGTTATCCATTTCCTACAATACGGAAACAAGATGAAAAATGGAAATTCAATTGCTGGCACATCGTAAATTCACACATTTTGCATAATCCCCAAAAATGGTAAGGAAAAGAAGGTCGCACACCTGACATTTACCTTCGGTCTTTTGAATTCTTTTATTTCTTCTCTTGCATTGACTTTCGTTTCAATTACAAAATTGGGATTGCTGAGGTGCAGTTCGCAACCTTTGCAAATTGTGTGACACTGTAAAAGGCCAAAGCTCAAATTGACAGGTTTTAAATTGATAAACGTTTCAATCTCGTTTTATTTGGTTGAACATTTTCTGCTGGAAAAGCTCTTTCGGCTTAATGGTTTATTTTGGTAAAATATGATACTTTTTTACACAGTTCCATATTTGATTAATTGTTGATGTCAGCATTACTAATGAATTTCTGTCACAGACTGATGTCTGGTAGCGCAAAAAAATGCATTTGATTTAATTGATATCAAATATCAACGTTTTAAAGGGAAACATATATTTTGGTGTTTAAATCCTTTGTCATATCAAAAAAAAATCATTCATAACGAAAATTAAAATCTAAATAAAAAGTCAATTTTTTCTTCTCACAAAAACTGACAACCAAAACGAGCAAATGGAGCAGCGGGCAAGATACAAAATACACAGAACGTTGTAAATGTTTTGTGCTGTCATTTCATTTGAACATTTCAACAAATTTGGTTTTTATGACAGCCAAATGTGTGTGTAATTATTCCTGTCGAATGCTGAATGTCGAATGTCGGAATGGACGCGAAGGGACCTTGGCCAGACTTGGCAGGAAAATTGCCTCGAACAATTATTATGATGGCTGATAAGCCTCACGCACACTTAGACACACTGTCGCCGCTCACACACACACACACGCACAAAGCACACGTGCACCCACTCGTGTGTAGTAAAAATGTGGAGTTGGAATTTGCTTTGCTACGTGACTGCTGGTAATTTTCGTGCACATTGCGTATACGTAATGTGACGCTGGTCCCAACTAAATGGCCCTGCCGCAACACTAACGCACAACATTTGCGAGGGCTTCGGTGCCCCTTAACATTTTATACAGTTAAATAAAATCTCTTGATTATTCTTTCTTCATTTTACTAAAATACTCTTGGTACTATAGAGATTTGCTTCAGAAAGTTTAGCTTAAAACAAAAAACTAAAATCGTAAACTCGATGCAAATTATATTAAAATAAAATTTTAAAATATTTCCTAACCTATATCAAGATTAAAAATTCCTTTTTTAAAATATTTTTCAGTGTACGGATTTTTTTGTGCGCTTTCATCCCGTTCCCCTGTTATTGTCGCCTTTGCCCTCGTTATTTCGCCATTTATGCGACTACCTTTTGGTCCCAACCTTTTTCTCTGGCACGATAATGTTGCCTGCTTTTCCACGCAATTTTGTTGAGTCTTTCGGTTTCTTTTATTGTTTTATTTTTATTGTTTATTACCGCATTATTTCTGTTTTTCGTGTGCGTTCATGCACTTTCCCTTATTTTTGACACGAATTGCACTGTTTGAGGTAAACAAAACCAAGGAAAACTGCCTGATGAATTGTCAGTTAGTTAAACTTGCCATCAGGAAGCAGCTTTAGTATACTATATATTGATTTAGGGAAAGCCTGGCTAATCCGGTGAACTTTGGCTAATTGATTTTGGAAAAAGTTTGATAACAAAATTACAAGCAATAACCAGAAAATCTTTTAATGGAAGCCAACAAGTTTCCTTAGAGGACCAAAAATAGGAATATATTTTCTTCTAACGTTGTTAGGCTTAACCTAATTAAATGATTCCTTGCACGTTTCAAATCTGAATCTATTTTATTTAATTACACGCCTTCTTTGCAATCTGAGGAAATGCTTGGGTTATTTTTGGCAGAAAGCTTCATCAATTTCCCAATCATCTTAGCCGGATGCGCATAAATACTCACTTCAATCTTTCGTTTATGGTGATTAAATCAAATAATTGATGGGCATGCTTCAATTTTTGTGCTCCAGCTGGTTTTTTTTCAGTTGAATACAACAATAAGAGTTTGAATCCACTCCGCTTTTAAATCACATAAAGCTGCGGGAAACGGAAATGCACGAAAAAAACTGTTGATTATAATTGCAGAGAAGCCACTTGACTTATTTATTTTCCGAGCATCTCATTAAATCTTTTTCTGGTTTTAATATGAGTATTTTTTGAAATTATCAGGATGGCGCCGTGGTCGTAATTGCGGGCAGCAATATATTAAATATAAAAAGTTTCAAGAAACTTGGAAAATGTCCTTAAATGAAGTGCTACGGTTTTTGAATTATTAATTTTTTCAAGAAAAATAAAATAAAAGTCCACAAATAAGTCTGCAATTATACTTATTTTCAAGCACTCATACCATTAATTTTTTTATTTCGAATATTTTGTATCTCAACGAACACTTTTTATTATTAAGTTGTTATTTGTAATGCCGTTCTGTACACCCACGTGTCGCTTTTAAGTCCTTTACGTAGTTTTATATATATATGTATCTAAAGCGATATTCCGGTCCGATTTCTTGTGTTGCGGTTCGCTTGGAAGCCGCATGAGAACTGAAATTTTTATCGGACGGAGTGCGCTGACTGCGCTGCCGAGTAAGTCGGCCAATCGCGGAGTCTGCGCAGGAAGTACGCCGTGAAAATGAAAACAAACTTAACCCGTAGATGTGCTGTTGTGCTCAAAATGGCATATATGAGGAAAACCAAAAATGTGAAAAGCATAAAACAATCCAAAATTTGTATTATTGGTATCAGTATGGTAATATGGTAAATATTGTAAGGTGGTAAGCGAAGTTTAAAGAAATTAATAGATTAGGAAAGTAGAATTTTGTAAATTATTCGGGTTGTAAGAGCAGGGGAGATCTCAGCCACCCCGATAGCATTTATTTTTAAATAGGTGCTAAAAAATCTCACAGGAGGTCAAAAATTTGGGCTACAAAATACAATTGATATTTATAGATTTACAGCGTGAGGCAACAATATTATCCTAAATGAATTCATTTTCATGTGTAAACACAGGTTTGGGGTATTTAAAATATACATAGAAATACATTTTTTTACAAAATATATTAAATTAAATCGACATATAATAATAATTATTTGCTGTTTCAAGTTATGTGACTCACTTACTGACCAATGCCAAGCACCACGAAATATGTACGAATGTGGTATCCAAATACGATTTCAATACAACCTTAGCCACTTTGAAAAACAGAGTCGTTAAATATTCAATTCTATGGACTATATTCCCGAACTTAATTGAGTGCACTGTTTACATTTTTATTTTTCGTGCCTTGCTTGGCCTGGAATTTGTTCTGTGTTTGGTTTGTTTTCGCTCTCCTATTTATAAATTTTGCTGTTTACATTGTGGTGAGTATAACAAAAGCCGCTACTATACAAAGAAACTTGAATGATACAAAAATGTTAATAGAAGTGTATATATATTAATTTTTGATTCTACACAATACTTTTAAATATGTTAATGTAAACAGCTGTCATTTCTGGTCAGAAATCCTTTCAAAGATACGAATTCATATGCAAAATACTTGGGCCAAAAAAGGAAAATCTACAAATTAGGGAAAAGAAAACTATCCTTTATTATATTATTTTTGACTGCTGAATTATTCATAAATGCTTATTTGCCCCTTTAAGTTATATTGTTAAATGAAAAATTAAATTAATGAACTAATGGGAAAAGGAAGTCCTTGATACTGATGGAAAAAATTTCTTAAATAAATTTGAAAAAGTTTTTGAGTATATTTTCTTTAAACAAATTATTTGATACGAATAATCAAAATAATATATCTCAAGTCTATTATCTGGTTTATTTATCGGGAAAATCAACTGCTTAGAACATCTTCAAGTTCACTAATATATAGAAAACAGGACCTTAAGATGGGACAGCACCATCCATTATCTGTTATCAATTGCCCCATAAATTACGATTGGGTAGCTTATTGTGTTGGGGACTCTGCGAAAGATTCAGTGCGAATCTTATTTGCTTGGACTAATTGGTAGAATGGTGTATATGTACCAGAATTTTGTCAAATTTAAGTACACCTTGGAAAGTTAATACAAAATGCTTATAATGAGAAAGATTATTATTTTTATCTGTTTTGTTAAGACATGTTAAGACATGAATCACTGCAGTTAGAATTTATTTAGTTCCTTTTAAATATGCAACAATATGCAGTTTATTTAGCTCACTTGGGTTTCCAACGAGTCCATTTAATCCGGCTACTTGAATGCAAACAAAGAAATGGTCCTTTACTGGCAACTTTACAACAGTGTGAAGTGGTAAAGTGGTTCGCCAGACTCATTAATTTTGCTCAACCACAGATGAATAATGAGTTGGGATTTAGGGGGCAAGTCACACATAAAATATAAAACTCGTACGTGGTCAAGCCAACAATCTGCATTTTAAGCCGCAAAAAGCTTGCATTTCCCTGTGTGCGAAAATGTGGCAGGACATTTTGAGTAGCTTGTGTTGTCCTTGTCGCCTTTTTCTGATTGCTGCCTTCTGGCAGCTGCATTTTCTTCATATTTTTTGCACATTTTTTTTTTTCGGTTCATCCAAAATAAGAACGAAAAATGCTAGAATTTTTCATTTAAACTTGTCTGTGTGACTTTCTCCACAGTGTTTCTGTCTCTTTTTTCGTCTCGGCATCTGTCTCTCTCGTCTCTGGCCAATTACAAAAGTTGGCAAATTGTTGCTGCTCTCGTTTTTGTTGCTTGTTTGTTTATGTCTCCTGGTGCATTTTATATGTATTTTTGCCCCTGACCATATTGGCTTCCGTTTGGAACTTTAACTTTTCACGGCAGAATTTTAGTTGCCAACGAGTGAGTGTGTGCCGTTTCCTTTTTTCCAAAGAAAATTCTTTCATGGCGGGAGCTTTGTTCTAGTGCAAGTTTTGAAAAGAACAAAAAAAACTGGGAAAACTTTGTAATAAAAATGTTTTTACTAAAACTCTGTATGTGTAATTACTTTGTGCATTGTGATTCATTTTATTTAAATATAAATTTAAACAATTTAAACATTAATTTTACAACTTTGAAAATTTATAACCGTTTAGTAAATACAACAAAGATATTGTTGAAATTTTCCATTCTGTTCCATTAGAAAGCCATTGTTTTCTTATTTTTATTGTTTACACATTTTGGGTGAATCATTTTGCCAAATCAGCGAAAGAAAATCCATTCAGATTTTAATTGGTCGGCTGTTGATTTGATTGCGGATATTGTTTGAGTGCCGTTGAGTGGCTTTCGTTTGGTTTTTGGCCCATTCAGTTTTGTACACAAAATGTTTACCTTTCAGTTTATTTGTTTTATTTTTTCTCTCCCAGAATTTAACAGATTCCTCGGAATATAGAACACTAAATTGACTTCTCAAAGAAATTACGGAAACCACATTGTTTTAAGATTTGCATTATCTTCAATGAGATTTTTTAACCTAGACAATATTCCCTTTTTCCAGATCCTTGGAGGCTATAACTGGTTTGCATTATTAAAACTACATCTGGGTAAAATATGTTATGGACTCACAAAAAATGTGATAATGTCTAGATTTATTTATGAAGACTAAGAGAGAATAAAGACTTCTATGTAATATCTAATCATATTGTAATTATTAAAAATAATTATAATACTTAAATAACTGAAGATTATAAAAATTTCCTTTTGAAATAACTTCACAATTAATTTTTATATAAAGAAAGAACACAATTTTGCTACTGTTGGCTGAGTAAAGATAAAAAGAAAATGTCCTTTTGGGGAAATTAAAAATAAAGAAAAATTAAATGCAGGTCTCTAGTGGCTTTCTCTGCGGTTTCCGCCACGTTGGGCTGCCTGCACTTGGTTTGATGAGTAATCCCTGCCAGACTGCAACCAACATTTATTCCCAGTCGTCTGCCATTTTCTGCGGACGAGGCCAAGTCTGCCGCACTGAGAAAACCGTAAAGCATAATGCCCGCTGACATATATATGTTTTTTTTCTTGCTACTTCAGATTTACCCCATTCGGTGCACAACCAATTCTTGAAATAATAAAGAGAAATTAATGGCGCACTGCGGCTTTGGGGTGCGAATATCCTCATAAAGTGTCCATGGGAGTAGATGTAAGAATTATATATATATATATATATATATATATATATATATATATCTTCAACAGTTTTTCATAACAACGAACAAAGTTCAGACATTCAGCCCTTATATCCTTGAGCACTTTCCTTGTACGTGAGGCGATTACCATAATTAGATGAGCCTGCTCATCCCCACAAAAAAGAAAATTCAAAACTCAATGCTCGAAACAACACCTTTTCAGATAAGCTTCCAGGAAGTGTGTGCCAGGGATTTCCGCAATGTTTAAATATTTGTACAATGAAAACGATGCCCACATAAAACCATAAGCCCTCCCTTACCTCAACCCTTAAAAACTCCCACAGGTGACAGGAGACAAACTTTGTCTTAGCAGCCACACATCAGGCTTAAACATTAGCCTCAACTTTCGGTGTTTGGTTTCTCCCCTGGGCACTTAAACACCTACTTAAGTGCTCAGGCAGAATTTTCACAAATTTCCTGTAAAATTTTAATTTCCTCACGCATATGCAGGACTTAATTTGGCAAGCTCTCAATAAATGCTGAAGGGTTTCTTTGGGTTACGCCTTAAATTTTGTGGTCTGAATATTTATTACTTAGATTTAGGTTGTAAGACTTTCATTTCGTTTTCTCATATTTAAAGCAAAGATATTATAAATTCTATCATTAAATCCAATAAATAAATTGTCTGCCAATTGCCAATACCCCAAAACGCTTAAAAAATCATAAAAACTTTTCTAATTGCGCTAATGGTTTGTTTTTGTTCTATTGTTCCCGTTTTATTCAACTTCAATTTCGCAATTACTTTCAGCTCAAGTGGGATGGGTTTTTCAAACAAAAACAAACTTTAGAACTTTTATTGCAGAAAGCTAAGTTTTAGTAATTGAGTTGTGAAAAACAAAAGGTTTTTTTGGAAACCGAACTTTTCTTAATAATGTACTTGCTGACCCTCTGTAATGCAATATTTTCTTTAAATATTCTTTTATATGTTACTAATCAGGACTAATCAGAAAAAAGTAAAAGCTGACATTTCACTAACCCACTTCGTACAATAAAGGGAATTCACCATTAAAAGGAAGATTTGTCTTTACTGTCATACAAAGTGACATCCGCTAAATAGTAGCAAAAGAAAAACAAAATGAGAAAAAACGTGCAGTTGGTTTCCGCTTACCTGTCAGCTATAAAAATTTTTGCACTTCCTAATGACTAAGGCAGATAGTAGAAACTATTTAATAAACTTCCATGTCGAGAATGAACAG